AAGGTAATTGCACTGGATAATCGAGCTCGCCCATTTACCTGTAAGCAAGGAAGTATGGCAGGCCTACGCTGTTGCAAGAAATGGATGCACATTAACACATACCTGCAACAATATCCAAGTATATATAAACTTATCCATTAAAGGATATTCAAAAAAGCTGAAAATAAGAATTAATGGTTTAAACTAAAAATACTCACGCATAACTAGAGAGTGTTCCTTGGTAAGTTTGGTTAACTCCTCGTGATTTAGCCCAGTGTTTGACAATGAATGCCAACTGCCTGAGTCTTACATCTATGCATGCATAATCATGGAGCAGCTTTGTATTCACAACAGCCAGCATATTGTTTAGACAAATATCACATGAAATACCGGTAGCTGGATCCATGAGCTTAACCACAGGAACTCTAGCGCGTATAAGTGCCTGTAATAGAAACATGAATGTGAACATTTATGAAGTGCGTATTGGGGTTTAACCATTATAAGACAAGCAAAATCAGACACTAAACGGGCCAATTTATGTTATACACATCAACAATCATATGTGGACATCATTCTTACCACCATAGTAAGCGAACTTGCGATCTTAATCTATAAACAACCATAACTAAATTGATATTGAATTTCAAAAAATTGCACAAGCAGGTTACCTGCACATTCTGCAGATTGTCCGACTGTAATATCTCTGCCAGCTTTAGCAAAACCTCAGACTTGTCATTATTCCCAAGATCCATTTGAAGGCAAACATCAATATCACTTTTCGGAAAACCAAATGAGTTGGCACAGGATCCATAAAGATATAATCGAGCCTCAGGCCACTCTTTCCCAACAAGCTTTTCCAATACCGTCAGTAACTGTTTCTGCTTGAGTTTTTCTTCTTCAGCAGGGATTAAAGACTCAAACACGGTTAAAAATGGGGCATGCAGCCTGTTTATATCATTTCGACATGTTGTTCGGCTTCTAACAATTCTCATTCTCTGACCCATTATCCACTGCCCCCTCTTGTCGGATCTGTAATCCTGATTGCAAAGAGCAAAGGTCAGCTACCACGAAAATAAAGTTCACATCCATTGCATCCATTATCAAACATGACTCACATCCTCAAAGCTTTGGGGGGAAAAAGACAACCAAAGTTTAACTGTTAAGACAAGTCTGAAAAGTGGAGTAATATTTCTTGAAATAAGGAAACGCGTGTAAGTTCAAAATGATCTCTAATTTTTATTTCTAGAAGTATCGATAAACGAAATCAACACATCAACTTCAGCCTGACATCCAAACATTCTACAAATCGGCTAGTCACAGGACCTCTTAATGTAAATATAATAGAAGTTGATGCTGAATAAGAATATTGTCAGTTTAATCTATTATACTCTATCATTGCATTATGAAAGGTAATCATGAGTTTACTTTATAAACCATATCTTTTCAACAAGTAGACAAAAGTTGAAAAAAAAAAAATACAATGAAAAGGGTTCTAGCACCAAGCTGATGATGGAACAACAATCTTTCACTTAACCAGACATGACAAAAAAAGACCAAAAAAGAGGAAGCGTGGTTGAATTCCTATATCAATTGTACAAATAGAAGCAGGATAATCCAGATCAATTAAGGACAGACCATTTGGGAGGCCTCAATTTGTAGATGTTTTCGTTGCCAGATCATATTGGATATCCATCGGTGAATGACAAAAAATGATCAACAGCAATTAACTTTGTGACAATGTAATAGGATGACTTGGCATTCTATAGCTATTTAACTAGCCTGGTTTTCTTTTCATTGCTTCACTAGGAATTTTTTAAGTTTGTATGCGAATCTAGCAAGCAATGTATAATCAAGAGAAAAAGGTTGTGCTTGTGCCCAAGAATGAAAAAAACAGATAAGTCCAAGATATAAATGTATGGTTACATCTGTCTCAATGTGATAATGTTTGTCATAAATATGAATAGTAACCCAAAATTATCAGAAGTCATTTAGCGAAAATCTGTTTCCACAGTCCACACCCTTAACAGCAAAGTTTCCATTTTTAATTTTCTGAATGGTACAACATAATAATTTTTTTATTATATGTTTAAAATCACCTTAGTTCTGGTGTCCATAACACTGAGAGCAAAGGCAAATGAGTCATTCCCACATAGCAGCACATAACAACCAGCTGTCAGATATCCAAATTAAATACCACCAAGATAATAATGAATCACATTAATTATGCTATTGTATCTAATTTAATTTGTTATGTTTCTGTATCCACTTTCTAACAAGACACAAGACTGATATACAACTGAATATACCTTGTCTCGACAATGCTTCTTTTTATCAGATTCATCTTCAAGTCTCTTCTCACTAGAATTGTCTTCAAGAGCCAAAGAATCCACAAGCTGATCCAAACAATCCATCTCACTCACCCTACGATCTCGGCCCATCTTATCCCCGCCATCATATCTCAATTCTTCAGGTTCATAACAATGGAGATTCATGATCGACTTCTCAATATCAACGGCCCGAACAGACTGAAAGTTGCTTCCAGCAGGTGGACCAGGGGATTCAAGCTGATTACTAAGTCTATCTTTCTTATACATATCACCTGAACTAACCTTAGCTTTACGCGCGTTACGATCAGAAGTCCTCCAGCCAAACCCGTACTCTCTGCTCTTCACATTCTTTGCATTCCTTGAAAACCCCGGTGGCTCTGCCACCGGCCCCACCACCTTATGTTTCCCATTATGTCCCCTGTTTAACCTGTTGTTACTGTTACTGCTTTTTTCGTGTTCACAACCTCTGAATGCAGTAGAATTTCCTCGCGCACCACCATTGACCTCGACAGGATTTACCGGGTGACTGTTAGGTCTTCTATCCATTCCCAATCTCTCCTCCAAATGGGATTTTGCAGGCTTGTTGTTCCCATATAAGCTCTGACGCAAAACATCCCCAACATTATCCTGCGGCAAATCAGGATTCAGAGACCCGAATATGAGATTATGACCCTGCAGCTGATGAGGCGAGATGTGATTTCCCGCGTAAGGCCCTAATTTCCTTGTATCATCAATGGCGGGAGCGCGACCAGACTGGAGCTTGAATTGGTGCTGACTGTTACTGAAACCCCCCAGTGACGAGGATAAATCAGGGTTTAAAATAGGGTTCGCATTAGGGTTTTGCCGGCAGTAATTGTGCGGAGCAAATGGCGGAGAATTAGAGTTATTCCACGCGACGTAAGGGACGCCGCGGCCGTCTATGGGTAACGCCGCCGCATGCGGCAGGTAGAAAGCAGGGATTGTGGGGCCGACCGCCGCGACGGCGGGGTCCTGAGATGGCGTTTGAGAGGGATGCTGCCGTGACGTCTGGGTATTAGGGCTGGGGTTCTGCGGTCTGCGGAGGAGCTGGAGGAGGAAATCTCCGCCGTTCGCCGGCGGCGCGTCGCCTCCTCTGCCAAAGTTCATGGTGGGAAGTTTTGTAATTCTGCTATTAAGGATTTAGAAACAAGTAGTTGCCTTAAATTTAATTAATTTGGTCAAAGTAAAGTAAATAGAATAAAGATAAAGTAAGGATTAACTAATTTGATGTGGCGTCTCGTTTCGAGCATGACCATTGTATTTGACAATCGGTCCACGTGGTTT